TTTTTTACCTTATTCTGTGCAGAAAATTGAAATAATTGTTTGTAGTATATAAAACAATCATAAAATTGCCATTAGGAAAAATTATAGATAGCAAATTATTGATTATTGTCCAGCAGTGTATTTGATTTCTTATAGCAAATTCAAAGTAAGAGATAAGAAAATAATTCCTTGTAAATAATAATAATAATAATAATAATAATAATAATAATACATAAAATGATTGTTTTTGACATTTCTGTCCCTTCTGAAATGATGGCTACGCCCCTGGTGTGACAAAATGTTAGCCTATACATAATACTTTTAAAGCTCTTAATACTTTACAATCTTGGCTTACATAAATTTCTACACATGCCATGTCATGCCATAGCATCATTAAACTAGCATCTAACAATGGACAAAAGTGTTTTCTTTTGTGTTTGTTTCTCTCTAAGCTATGGTTCTGTAACCATAAAGGCTGCTGTGTAATTTGCCCCCCTGACTAAGCATTTAAAGAATTTAGGGGAAGCATTTAAATAATCCTGTGAATGCACTTGAATGCAGAATTGAATTGTTAATCAAATCGAATCTAATTTAATTGTGAATCGAATCTAATTGAATCGTTCTGAATTTGCAAAAATCGTTCTTGAATCGAATTGAAAACCTATGAATCGTGAATCGAATCGATTCGCTGTCTACCCAAAGATTCACAGCCCTACTTACTGGTAGATAAAACTGAAAATCATCCACGTAACAATGATATGAAATACTGTATTTTTGAAAAATGTGGGCCAAGGGAAGCATATAAAGGGAAAACAGTAAAGGTCCCAAAATTGATCCCTGGGGCACTCCACACAAGACAGGTGCAGCGGATGAGAAAAAAATTCCTATATTTACAGAAAAAGTCCTGTTCTCGAGATACGAGGCAAACCACTTTAATGCAGTGCCTCGAATACCTACCACACAATCCAGTCGTTATGAAGCCAGTAATACTCTGAACGATTCACTGACTAAGTGATTTGGATTCAAACTACAAGTCTGAGGCTGTTTTGTCAATCTTTTTTGGCTGATTCATTAAAAAAAACTGGTTCATAAGAGTCATTTGTTTGTCAAATCAGACATGTTCATAGTTCACTTCACTCTGTCAACATAAAATCTGATGGATGGGCACACAAAGTTTCTTCGGCTAGTTTTTTTTTTCACCCTGACTTACTTAAAGCTATAATTTGCTGTGGTGTTTTGAGTCCCGTTTCCATTAATCTCTTTGCTCTTTCATTTTCAAGTCACATCTCAAATGACTGATCAGTGATATCCTCTGAAGTAAAAAGTGCTTAAGATATCTCACCTAACCTCTAAGCCGCTGCAAACTTGGAAAACATGACCTTCAAGCTTGAATTAATCAGAAGGTTTGAAAATTTCTCATTACGTAGTTTACATACCAGTGTTATTTTAGAATTATTTATATAATACTCATACAGTTTAGTGTTTTAGCCTTACTGATTATTTTTAACTTATTTCTAATTTTCGATTAGTTAACCTAATTCAATATTTATATTTTACTTTATTTCAAGTAACAAAAAGTTTTGAATAGTTTAGTTAAACCTGTTACATGAAGGTGAGGGGGGAATGATTAACTGCATTAATTCAGCAATAAAACAGTGTGTGTGGGGTATAGTTCGCTGACCTCTTGAGGTGTGTGTAGATGCGGCCGAGTGTGTCTGTGTCGCTGTGGGGGTCGTGGAGCTGCACACGGCAGGTGAAGCGCAGCTGGTGTTCACTGAGGCCCAGCTCTTTGAGAGCCTGTTCTGGAGAAACCAGCCGCAGACTCTACACAGACACACATATTCAGAAAACATGGAATTCATGACGTCTGAAACCTTATATTAGTCAAACAAACGATGAAATTGAACCTAAAGAGCCATGATGACTTACATTGTCCTTCATTATTAATGTCCCATGCATGGTGCGAGGTCTTTTAGCATCAGGCAATGGACCTGCGAGAAAGTTTCATAACAAATCCTGTTATTTATTCAAATATGGCATAACATTGATGATGATCATTGATAATCACAAAAAAAAAAAAAAGATTTTGCCCTGCGTTTTCTTTAAAAATACAAAAAAATGGAAATTATAGTAGTAGTAGTAATGTGACACTTCTAATTTAATAAAAGCGCTTACATTAATACTTCAGTTAACACTTGTTATATTTAGTTCAGTAATACAATTGTATTGTTTGAGCTGAAAAGCCGTTTAAATCATAATTTTTACAGTTCCTTTAGGGATTTAACATTTATGACAATATAATGTCATGGCAACAAAGTAAAACTATATATAATTTTACTCAGGAAACGTTAGTAAGTTGTTAACATGTACAGTATATTATTTTTACATTGTGTGGCTATACAATCTAAACAGTGAGTATTTTAATGTTTACAGATCGGCCTCATTCACTTCAGCTGCAAGTGCCTCAGATTAACCCAGATTTTTTTAAGGAAAAGGAAGAAAAGTCATTTTTCTAGTAATCCACATTATGCCATAAATATAGATTTTTGACCTTAACTTGAACCTTGCAAATTCCTTTAAGCCAATGGGATCCAGAAAATATAAAGTCAAACTAAAAGAGGAAAAGCAGAAACTACAAGACCAACATAAACACGTGAGAAAAAGTCATGATGGCATTTCTGTAAACAGGTCAAATAAAGCAGTCAGTGGTGTACGTGTCAATCAACACCTCCGAGAGCCATCTCCCTCTTCAGCAGGTTGAGAGAGATGTCTACAGGGACGCTGGGGTTCGTCACTATGGTTGTCGTCTCTCCGTTGGCCGGCATATAGCAGCTGATACCTGCATGAGGTAAAATATCAGCACAGAGAGAACATCTTTCAAACACTGTAAAGTACACTATTAAACTGATCATATTCCACAATTTAGTATTGTATTTGTTACACTCTAAAGTTCCCAAGAATAAATCACAGAACTGGAATTTAGTAACAGCAAAGCACGCTGTACAGTCCAAAGTTTAATTGTATTTTGAGGAGTTGTAGACATACTAAATTCTTGCTCGATCTTGTCTTTGAGGAACTCCATTTTCTTGGCCTCTCCGTGCACCAGCAGCATGTTCCTGGGTTCTGCCATGCGGATCAACTGCATGATGCCTTTGGCGTCAGCGTGAGCGCTGAAGGACATGTACTCCACCTGTAGCTTCACATCCAACTAAACACACACACACACACACACACACACACACACCATATACACTGCTGGTCAAGTGTGGAATTACGATTGTGAAATATTGTATTAATAATTAATAAAATATTATTAATTTAAAAGAACTTGTTCTATTTGAATATATTTTAAAATGTGATTTATTTCTGTGATGCAAAGCTGAATTTTCAGCATCATTACTCCAGTCTTTAGTGTCACATGATCCTTCAGAAATCATTAATGTGATTGGCGCTCAATTATTATTAAAATAGAAAACAGTTCTTTTAATTTGCAAAAATATTTCACAATATTCCTGTTTTTATTGTATTTTTAACGTAAAAAAAAATCTTGGTTAGCATTTTTGGTGATTTCTTTTAAAACAAAAAAAATGTATGAATAAATTAATCACATTTAATTAAACTAATTAAAAGTCAATTTTTTACTGTTATTGTATGATACAAATTCAGAATTCTAGAGGTTTGACATAAGAATTAGTTTCAGGTGTGGTTAAAGAAGGTAAAAATGACAGATTTTTATGAAAATTATGGGAAACAGTGGACTATATAAACTACAGAGTTCTCTGATGCCATCTAGTGAAGCTCAATTAAAATCATTGTTTGCAGTGCCAATAATTACCGTTGCTCTTCCCTCCATCTCCAGTTTTTTCTGTCCATTCAAGATCTTGTGTCCCACAGTGCCTTGCACACAGTACCCTGGCATGATCAGCTAAGAAATAAATATATTGAACTCAATAAATACGTCTTCTATTTCGATGAACAACTATGAGTCAGTATGGGCTTTGAATGAGTTGAAGTGGTAAGTAAGTCTCAGTAACATAATCTGCCGTTTCATAAGGGGTCTTACCATATTCTTTTCATTGCCGGCCCATTTCTTGAATATCTGTAAAGACTGGCCAGCGTGCAACATTCCAGGGGTGGCAAACACAACCTGACGGAACAGATGTCAAAGCCTCTGCTTTTACATAATATCATGCACTGGTTTGATTCACTTCTCAACAATCCATCAATTCTTGTTGAATGTCTTAACAGCAGAAATGGCTACAAACTTCAATTAGTTCTAACTAGGAATCAGAGTCATTGGTAAAAAGAATCAGTTCTTCGAATCTGAGGCCTTGAGAATCAAGAGTCAAACCACATTGCAAACCTTTTGATTCTGATCACCAAAAAGATTCACCATTCATTCTGTGATAGATGCAACATCCTATTAGTGGAAAATCATTTTAAATATACACATTTTAAACTAACATAAATTATTAAATTAAATGTTTTTTTTTTTATTATTAAAATGAGAAAAAAAAAAGGATTTAAAGAAATAATATTAAAAAATGCCATGTTTAATATTCTAAAAAGGCTTCAGCATGTATTATTTAATAATCATCATCACCATAATCATTGTGCATAAAATAATAGTAATAATTATAATAAAAATTATAATTTTACAATAAAAAAATCCACGAATAGTATAATAATTATCAGAGTATATCAATTATCCAGTTTAACATTTTCATTAATATTAATATTAAAATATTAATTAATATTCTAAGGTTTCTACAAGTATCATCTAATAATAATAATATAAAAGATCATATTTAAATATTTTGCATAATAATAATAATAATACTTTAACAATAAAAAATCCATGAATATCTCCATACAGACTTGCAGATTATATCAGAAATAAGATTTAAATTTTCATTCATATTTTTTTTCTGAATACTACTTAATATTCTAGAAGGTTACGACATATATCATTTAATAATTAAAAATATATCAAATATTTAAATAACAATAACAATATATAAAAATAAAAAAATAAAAATAATATATTAAAATAATACAAAATATTTTCCATAATAATAATAATAATAATAACAACGAATAAATGAATGAATGAATGTCTCTTTGTGGACTAGCAGAGTATATCAATTATGAATTTTATACATTTCTTCATAGTGGTCTTACCATTGGTCCAGGGTTATCAGCATATGAGCGATCAAAGGCTTTGATGTGCTTGAACTCAAACATGTTTCTTTGTACGAAGGTCTTGCGGATCTTCTGATTGGTCCAGGTGATGAAGAGCTTGTAGTAGTGATTGGCTTTCTCCGTCAACCCGGTGGAGAAGTAAATGGGGGCTTTCAGATTCATTCTCTCCCTGTTAAAATGAAGATCCAGCAATTACATACCATTCTGTGCCAATATAGAGTTTAGGAGTGTTGTAACAGAATTTGTGATTTGAAATTTTATTATAGGGTGGTTGTGTACACACACTGCCAACACACATTTCAGTTCAAACAACTTGTAAAAGTGCATGTAGCATCCTATGACCCCTTTAACAAAGGTAAAATAGGTGAGCAGCAGCAATCTTAGGCCAGTGAACAACTGTACAAGCTCACCAGAATGTTTCCAACAGAATACAGAGTTCCTGTGCTCTTCCCAGAGCAAACACTGGAATCAAGACCTACAACAGAGACACCAAGATGAACAGAACATACACATCTGAGAGCATAAAAAAAGGATAGTTACAGCTTTAAAATCGGATGGATGAGCTGACAAACACCAGCTGAATTCTATATATTTATGCGCCTTAATTACCTTCCCTCCTCTTTCTACGGTTTCATGAACCTTCTTCAGGAAATCTCTTTCCCTGCAGCGTTTGGAGTCTCTGATCGTGGTGGCGTACGTGGACTCTGATATCAGAAGATCTGGCCGGCATTTGTCAATCCAAGCAGCTCTGAGTAAATAAAGTCAGAGAATCTAAACCTGACTCAGTTTAACCTAAATTAATCTAACCGGAATATGAAACCTGAAACGTACATAAAATATGTGACCAAAAAAGGAGATTTTACTCACCCCAAATGTCTGTCTGGTGTCATGTTGTAATCACCCTACACAAATAGATTTAGATATAATTTGCAAATTATGTCAACAACTGGAACAACATAAAATCGGAGTATGTAATGAGCAACGTGACACTCACTGTATAGACGACAGACTCCGAGCCGACTTTGATTTGAAACATGGCAGCTCCCAGCACATGACCTGCATAGTACGCTTTGATCTCGAGCTCTTCGTCTACCTAAAAAAAAAAAAACTAAACAAGTCAGAAAAAATGTAAAAAAAAAAAAAAAATCATTAGCAACATTAACACATTCATTTGATGCTTAGGTTTAGTTTAACCATTTTCAATGGGGAAAATTTACAATATCAGAATTAATTTAAATATTTTAAAAAATATTCTACATTTAATTATTTTATTACAATAAAAAAAATATGATTTAAAGAAATAAGATTTCAAAATGTCATGTTTAATGCAAAAAGGTTTCTACATGCGTAATTTAATAATAATAATAATAATATTTAATCTTGAATCTATTTTAATCTGCTAAATGACTAAATAAATAAATAATAATAATTGAACGATACAAAATCCTTGAATAGTATATCAATTATCAGATTTACAGAAAAAAATATTAATTAATATACTAAAAGGTTTCTACTTGTGTAATTTAATAATAAATAACAAAAGATAGTAATAATAATTTAACAAAAAAATCCATGAATATCTGCATATAGACTTGTAAGGTAGTTAAAAAAAACTAAAAGTAGAGACAATTCTCAAAAAACAAACAATCATAAAAACAATACATTAGCAGCAAAAACATTAATTTGATGCTTACATATTGTTTTAATGTAAACCTTTTCAATAAGAAAAATGTACAATAACAAAATTCTTAAGAACTTAATGATTACTCAAATTAATTAAATTAATGAATTTACTTTTTTTTTTTTTATAACAATAAATAAAAAGAATTGATTTCAAATTCACAGACAATGAACTTTTTACCTGAACTGTTTGGTGGAGGTTGAGTGGCACAACTTTCTTCATGCAGTCTTTGATCATCTGTGAAGTGAAGAAGTTGGTCTCTCCCTTTTTGTCTACTGTGATCTTTCGGAAGTCCTCCAGCAGGATGGGGCAGATGGCTTTGGTGGGGTGGGTCATGTAGATGGGCCCGTCGTAACCCACCATCTCGCTCATGTAGGGAAGAGCACCGCAGTGATCCAGATGGAAATGACTGAGAGGAACATAAAGAAGGGAAAAATCACAATGGAGAACAGAAAAATGTGCACGACAGTCACATCACACATCATATATAAACTAACCTTATAATAACACAGTCCAGGAACTCAGTGAGGCGACTGTTTTGTGTAACGTAACTAAAATCTGGGAAACGTCTCTGAAATCAAACACAGATAGTTAAGCATACAAGTGAAATTATGGATTACAGAATTATACTATTATAAACATAGCATGAACCATTGTAACGCACATCGTCGTTATAGCCCATATGCATGCCACAGTCAAGCATGATGTTTTTGCCTCCGATGGAGACCAAAATACAGCTGCGGCCAACATCCTGACCAGCCCCTGCAAAACAACAGATTCACACATATAGAAGAACATTTACCTTTAATAATACCATAAACATATAACATTAAAATATTTACATTATATAAGTCAAAATATATATTATAAGAATTACAAACACAGACTTTAGGAGACCTATAGGCATACACAAATTAAATTTTTTTTTTTTTTTTACATTTTTAAATTAAAAAGTCAACTCATTTGCTAATATCGTTGATTCCTGCTGAATTGTCAGATTTGTTATGCATCATATATTTGCTAATGGCTCATTTATGAACGTTTTATCTATAAAATGAAGCAAACCTCTTACCTAAAGGCGTAACTTTGATATCAGGCATCTTGACAGCTTTGAAAAGCTCAGAAATTAACGTGTTATGTTTACAGGAGACTGATGGTCAAACTCTTAACTGCAGATTAGCTGGATATGAACACTTGACGAGCGCATGTCGGTCAGCTTGCACACTAGCCAGGGATGTAGACCAACTGTAAAGAATGTAAACGTGTTTAAGCAGTAGATCATTCAGAAACAGGTTAGCACAGGTTAGCACAGGAGCTAAACAACTTCACGCCGCACAGAAGAAGAGAGGAGAATATCAATAAAGGTTGATGTGGGCGTGGCTTAGTTGCCCACATGTTGTCTATCATTTCTAAATAATAATTTTCTTATTTTAATTCGTCACTGTGCGTTTTCATTTTATGGCTATTAAAGCCCTTTTTTTTTTTAGGTGTAAATTACTATCAAGGCCGCTAGTGAAGCGGCCTAAAAACGGCCATGTCACGTGGTCTCTGTTACTTTTCACAGCGCTGTTCAGTGTGGACCAATCATACTCGTTTGTGATTTCTGGACAAGGATTTTTAAAAATCGTTTTAACTCAAATTTCAGGGGCGTGTTTATATTCCCTTGTCAGGTACAAATGTGTGGAGTTAATTTATTAAAACGATTATGATTTTCAGTTTATAAATGTCTCCAAAAAAGCAAACAGTTTCCAGATATTTGAATTCGGCTCAATGGAAAATTCGACTTTCTGAGCCGTCGAGCGCCCCCGCCTGGAGGTAATTACGCATTTGTATGTCATGTGACATGAAAAACATGATTTGATTGGTCTAATGTTCCTTACGTTGCTTAAAGAACAGGAAAATCCTGGAAGAGAGGATCAAGCGAAAAGCAAAGCATTTACAGTGATATGATCCCAATGAAGAAAATATAAGATACTTTTATTGAAAATTAATACATAGGAGGATTTTTATTGCCTTGTCGATTGTGTTGTAGGAATTTGTCCACAAATTTTATTTCGTGTTAGTTAAATTAGAGAGAACAGACATGGCAGATACATTCAGTCTTCAAAGGGTTTTGGAAACATTCAGATCAAGTCTGAGTGAGAAAAAGGAGGTTTACATTAAATACTATATAGCAGGATGGCAAGAGCTGGTCGCGTGAGTACACGTTTTATTACTGTTTTACATTAAGATCTTGGGATATTTAAAAAAGTTTTGCCACAACTCGTGAAATATTAAGCATTTTTTTTAATTTTATATTTAATTTTATAATAATTACAGGACCTGGACAATGAATGGAAATTTATATTATTAATTTAAATGTTTCTAATGCTCAGCTGTAAAAATATCTGCATCTTGTAATTACAAATATCTGTAAAATTAAAGGGTTAGTTCACCCAAAAATCGGTTTCGCCCATGTCTGGATATCAAGCCCAACCGATGTCACCGTCATTTCAGTGCGGTCCACCGAACTTACTGAATAAATGCTGTCAAAGGACGAAACTTCAACACCGACCGCAGCACAAGATCATCAACACGGACCACAGCCAAAGTTTCTGCCGCCGGCCGTGGCTTCTTCTTCTTCTTCTTCTTCTTTGGAATTTTTGGCGTATTCCGCACCGTAGGCACATACCGCCACCAACTGTTTATATACATACATGGATGATAGTCCTGTCTCTGTTTATATTTTCTTTTATTTTATTGTTAATTTTATTTCGGGTTCACCCAAGCTGTATTTCTAGCTGCTGCGTGTTCAGCTCCCATGCCAAAAAACCCAGCTTGTGTGTTCCCCTATTCTATTCCACATTTTCGTCTCTACTTGTGGACGCCACCACACGCTCGTGTCATGATACTGTCGTGAACGTTTGGAACAACACGAGGGTGAGTAATTAATGACAGAATTTTCATTTTTGGGTGAACTAACCCTTTAATGAAAGAATTTATTGGTTAAAAAAATGTAGGAATACCATTTGAATATAAAGACAACAAGCAATTTAAATAAATGTAATAATCAAAATCCCTCTTTTTTCCTATCAGCTTCATGAACAGTTTGGGGAACGTGTTTTCCTTCATCTCCAAGGATGTGGTCAGCAAAATCCAGATCCTAGAGAACTTCCTTTCAGGAGAAAACAGATCCCATTATGTCACCATCCAGTCCATGGTAAAGTATGAGCTAGAAAATGACCTGGTGGACCTGACCAAAAGAGGCAGCCATCCAGAATCCGGCTGCCGCACTCTTCTGAGGCTCCATCGAGCTCTGCGCTGGCTGGAGCTGTTCCTGGAGAGACTGAGAACCAGCACCGAGGACAGCAAGACCTCCGTCATGTGTTCTGAAGCCTATAATGAGTCTCTGGCTCAGCACCACCCCTGGCTCATCCGGAAAGCCGTCGGCGTGGCGTTCTGTGCGCTTCCGGGGCGTGACACATTCTTTGATGTGATGAATGCGGGTGATCACACGCAGGTGGTTGCTCTGTTGGGAGAGTCTTTGCCTCTCATCGCTGAAGTGTACCAGATCACAGAAGACTTGTATGCGAAGAACAACCTCCTGGAGTTACCATAGAGGGAGGACTGATATATATTTTACTCTTTACACTAATTAATACATAGTCCTTGTGGCACATACTCACTTATTTACTACAAACATTGACTTGTTTGACTGTCTGCCTGTTTAAAAACCGAAGGGACATGCAATATGCAGATTTAATGCACATTTTAAGCATGGTTCTGCTCATTTAAGCTGTCAACTACACAACACCAAGTGGGCATTAAATGCTGGATGTATGTTAATATATTTGAGCTTAGGGAACAATATAAAGCCATTTAAAGGTACAGGATGTGCATGATATATATTTAAATTTGAAGTGCTGTGTATTTGAATATAGGTGTTTTTTTCCCTTGAGTGTTAATTATTTTATTGGAAATCCTTTTACTTGAAGTCCTGTCGAATGTGCGTCATACATCTGCAGCTTTGCTGAAACTACAAAGGGGGAAATTTAGTTATTAGTAAATGTATAAATGTACAATTTAGTAAATGTATGAATGAATAATATGTAATGCAATAATTAAATATAATGTTCTGAGAAATCTACGTTCGTCATGGTTATTCTCATATTATATCTAAAATTAAAAGAATACCGGACATTGATTTTTAAGCTTTGCCTTAGGATGGTGACATTTACTTCTTTCAATATTTACAATTTTATTTACAGTTTGACAAACGGCACACTTCTTAGAAAGCAATACAACACTAATTAGTTATATTCAGTGTATATTGTTAGTTATTATTCTCAATTACTACATGCTTAACCCAAAGTGACTTTTTTTTGGGCCTTCTTTAAGGTGTTTAGGAAATGTAAATATATCATAATAGTAAATGTCTCACATGAATAATTATATGAATTAACATGAATTCTGACCGTTATAAATTATATCATTATATTGTACCACAAACAAGAAAAATAACCCAAGAAATTGTTTATGTATTTTTGTAAGCACTGTTTAGTAGTTTGACCCACATTTTATATTCATCCACGGTTTTAAACATTTCATAATAATGTGTAAATATAATTCGGTATCATTGATACCGGACGTTGGTGCGTTTATGAAGCTTATTACAGCACTTCCGCTTCGGTAGCGTTGCTAAGGAGACGCCAGCGCGTCGGCAAAACTCTCGACTGTAGTGAAAATGCCTGCTTACTTTATCTCTTCAAAAACGACTGAAAGAAGCAAAATAGCATAAAAGGTACGACACATTTACCATTTTACCGTATTACGATTATTTACTGAATATTTTATCAACTTTAACTTATAAATAGAACCGTAAATTTGAAGTTTTTGTAATGTATAAGCTTATTTATTTGGTAAATTAAGACTGATGCATGCAAGTCTAATGTAACTAATAATGATACTGAAGACTATATCTATCTATCTATCTATCTATCTATATCTGAGTGATCATCTATTATCTATCTATCTATCTATCTATCTGAGTGATCATCTATCTATCTATCTATCTATCTATCTATCTATCTATCTATCTATCTATCATCTATCCATCTATCTGAGTGATCATCTATTATCTATCTACCTATCTGATCAGAATTCAATGTCTTTTGGAGGAAGGATGCATGTGACCAGGCCCAAGTCGTCTAAGGGACGCAGCAGACCCATGATGGCTCCCACTTTGAGTGAGGATTCACCTTCCCAGTCCTCGTCTCTTTCACCCCAACCTCCAGCCCCCAAGGCAAACGACGGGTTAAACCAATGCCTTCGATCCCGAGCCATTCTGAGACGCTGCAGTCAACCTAGTACAGATATACTGACTGAAATCTTCGACAGACCTCCCGATGAGCCCGTCTCACTCAACAAATACAGGGTTCTCCCTTCCATAGAGAATAAAACAGGTACGGACCGGACGTTCGGTCAAGGTGATGGCAGCCGAAGGATATGTCAACACACTTCACGTGTCCACACAAAGGCCCGTCCAGATGTGACGTCAGGAAGTGAGACGGGTCGAACTCCTCCAGAGGAATCAGGCCTGATGCTGGCTATCAGAACGCCATGCGGTCAGAGGTTCAAGTGCCATTTCCGGCCAACTGACCAGCTCCAGGCGGTGCAAAGGGCTGCAGAGGCTGAATTCGGGGAGAGGTTTGACAAGTGTATGATTGAGACTATGGATGTGCCACGCAGGACTTTTACAAACCTTACAATGACTTTGGCTCAGTGTGGCGTCCTGAACAAATCGGTTTTATGCATTTCCCAAGATGACAGCAACATGGATTTAACTTGAAACTCTAATGTAGTTCAACTTTTTATGAACACTCAAATAATACAAAAAAAAAACATTTAGATTTTCTGTCCGATTAACATTTCAAATTTTGATTCAAATTCCTCATGATTAAATACATGATTGAACATGGAACAGCAAGATTATTTTGATGGTAAAATGTTTATTCATCCAAGATGTAGATGAGTTTGTTTCTTCATCAGAACAGATTTGGAGAAAAGTAGCATTACATCACTTGGTCACCAACGGATCCTCTGCAGTGAATGGGTGCCGTCAGAATGAGAGTCCAAACAGCTGTTAAAAACATCACTAATCCAGTAATCAACACCGCTTCTTTACAAAATACCAGTCCATAATCCATAATATGCTTCCTCCAGTGAAAAGTCTATCCCCTGTCCTCTTACATCAAAATCCACAAACATATTTAAGAACTGTTTTCGCTGGTAAACAGTGCTTGATCTGTGCAGATTTCTCTCCTGATTCAGATGAGACAACTTTTTTTTTTTTTTAACTGAAAAAAGCAATATTAGAGGACTTGTGTTTTAGCTGGAAGCAAGTTTGAAATTAAAACGTCTTAAAGATGGATTTGTTTC